AAGTGAAAAAGTAGAGTCACATACTCAAATTATTCCAAACAGTTATTCTTTTACTTTAGTTTTCATATCCATGCTGAAAAAAATCCCTTTTTATTTTATGTTTTAAAAATATTTATCTTTTAGTTGTAGTTGGACACAATACCTTTATTCCATTCATTCATTTTTCCATGATGCTAAGGATTGAACCCAGGCCCTTGCATGTGCAAGGTGAGTGCTCTACCGTGAGCCACAACCCCAGCCCATCCTTTAAAAAAAAAAAAAAAAAACAGTTAAGATTTGGGTTTATATTTTATGGATGCTGCTGCTGCTGTTTCAATTTTATAAAGTAAAGCTGTCTGCTTTCCAAATTCCAAAAGATCCCCATACTAACCAGCGCCCTTTGGTTTATTTAGGACAAGAAGGATGAAAGGGTTTTCATGATGGAAGTGCCATTTTTATTTTGGGACTTTTCATGTACAAATCACAAAGTGGATGAGCACTTTATGGAAGTTTAAATATTATGCCCTAGCCAAATTAATGTATTTTACCCACCCTTTTGGGGAGAGAAGACCCATGCCTATAAAACTATTTCACTTGACAGGATGTTTCTACCCACAATAAGTAACTTCAACAACTTCCAACAGTAAGGTGTCTCACTTGGCTTCTTTTTTTCTTTTGGTACTGGGGACTGAACTCAGGGGCACTCTGCCTCTGAGCCACGTTCCCATCCCTATTTTGTATTTTATTTAGAGACAGTGACTCACTGAATTGCTTAGCACCTCGCTTTGGCTGAGGCTGGCTTTGAACTCAAGATCCTCCTGCCTCAGCCTCCAGAGCCACTGGGATTATAGGTGCGCACCACAGCACTTGGCACATTTGGCTTTTAACATGGGAAAGTCACATAGRCTAAAGGTAAAAGTTAATTTTCAAAAACAAATAAAATTCAGTCTATAGGTATGAATATATACCATTCATCTTTTTAAAAATAACTGATTTGACTTCAGACCAAAAGCATTATCACTTTGAAACCATTTGAGTAAATTCAATAAATTTTACGCCAATTTAGTATTAACACTGATTTCAGAGTTGGCTGAATAAATTGAAAAGCAACTCTAAATTCATCAATAAAGGAGTTTTCAAAATTTTCTTGTGGTTTTTGTAGTAAATTTCCATAACACTTTCAAATACATTGAAAATCTTGTACACATTGGTTCATGTTAAAAAAAAAATGTGCTAGGCATGATGGCACATGCAGCTTAGAAGGCTGACTGGAGGATTGTAATGAAGTTCAAAGCCAGTTCAGCAAAAAGTGAGGCACTAGGCAACTCAGTGAGACCCTGTCTCTAAATAAAATACAAACTAGGGCTGGGGATGTGGTTCAKTGGTCGAGTACCCTGAGTTCAGTCCCTGGAACCCCCTCACTAAAAAAAAGTGTGGGCTGGGAATGTGGCTCAGTGGTAGAGTGCTTTGTTAGCATGTGTAAAGCCCTGGGTTCCATACCCAGTATTATATACACACACACACACACACATATAAATAAATATATAGACAGATAGATAAATAAATAAAATTATTTGCCAGGTACAATGGCATAGTACTTTAATCCTATTGACTCCAGAGACTAAAGCAGGAGGATCACAAATTTGAAGCCAGCCTCAAAGTGAAACCCTGTCTCAAAATAAAAGTAAAACAGAGTTGGGGATGTAGCTCAGTAGTAGAGTAGCTAGGGGTTCAATTCTCAGTGACACACACACACACCCACACAAAAAGAATAATAAGAAAAAGTGTAAGATTCTTACTAATTTTCATTGTTTAAAGATTTGATTTCAACGTAAATTCTAGTACTTGTCTAGTTAAAAAAAAACAAAACAATTTTTCCCCCTAGCCTTAGAACTTCAAATTTAGATCCTTCATATGCCATGTGATATTGGGGAGAAAACAAAACTACCATTTTTGTTCTTATTAAGTATTCTCCTCCCAATTCTGTTTCAAGAAAATCCTGAGCTGAAGTTAAAAGTACATTAAATTTTGTATAACTCTTCCACAATTTCACCAACTTGCAGAGCATGTAAGATCACTAAATTCATTGCCCTAATTCATTGCCACACTGTCTGTATTTGTGAACAACTACTTAAATGTTCTATAACACTTGTCATAGAACCCATTTCAAAAAACTGAGCACAGGGACTGGAATCATGGCTCAGCAATAAAGTGCTCACCTAGCACGGGTGGGACCTGGGTTCATTTCTCAGCACTACATAAAAAAAAAAATAAAGGTATTGTGTTGTGTCCATCTACAAAAAAGATTCATATTCTCTCTCTCTCAAAAAAAAAAAAAAAGAAACAAAATGAGCACAAGTTGGGTATCGTGGTGCACACCTATGATCCCAGCTACTCAGGAGATTGAGACAGGATGATTGAAAGTTTGGTATCAGCATGGATAATTTAGCAAGACTCTATCTCAAACTACAAAGGGCTGGGGAATATAGTTCAATGGTCAAGAGCACCACTGGTTCAATCCCCAATATCAAAACACAAAACAAAAAATTGAGCAAAAATATTTTCATACTGCATCATGCAATAGAACAAAGAAATAAGGAAGCTGAGCATGGTGGCACACACCTGCAATCTAAGCAGCTCAGGCTGAGACAGGAAGATTGAGTTCAAAGCCACCCTCAGCAATGGTGAGGTGCTAAGCAACTCAGTGAGACCCTGTCTCTAACAAAATACAAAACTGGACTGGGGATGTGTCTCAGTGGTTGAGTGCTCCTGAGTTCAATTCAATCCCTGGTATTAAAAACAAACAACAACAACAACAACAACAACAACAAAAAACAGAAAGAAATAAGAAAAACACCAGGCTTATTCTTTGGCTGTGTGTGTGTGTGTGTGGTGCTGGGTGTTGAACCCAAGGCTTCTTGCATGAGAGGCAAATGCTCTATTACTGAACCACATCCCTAGCCCCCATCAGGCTTATTTTGAAATTCCAAAGAAATACAATTTTTTACCTCACCTAGCCAGAGTGTTCTCTATTGTGAAAGGTTTTTTTTTTTTTTCCACATCTAGTTGAAACTCCCATCATGGCACATGCGTGTATTAAGAAATTCATTTTGAAGACTCAGCTTACATGGCCACATAGACAAAGAAGTCTAAAACCCCAAGAACAGGTGGAGCTGGAGGGTTGGGCCGTGTTGGATGCTGCATAACATATGTAAAAGACTTAAAAAACAGCTGCATGATTATTTTTTAGGTTATGAATTTAAATTACTTCCTTATAATTTTTAAGTCCTATGAGATAAAATATACTTAGGATTATTAATTGGGAAGTATCTCTTATATACTCACCTAAAGCTATCTGCAACTTTTCAGATTTTGAATCAATCTTTGATACTGTTAGGTACATATTGTATAAGCAATTGATGGCTTAACTGAAGRCCCTGCGTGCCTGTCTCAAGTACTGGGAATCAAACCCAGGGACATTTTACCACTTAGCTACATTCCCAGCCCTTTTTGTTTTCAGACAGCGTCTTGCTAAATTGCAGAGTCTGGTCTCAAACTTGCAATCCTCCTGCCTCAGCCTCCCAAGTAGCTGGGATTACAGGTATGTGATGGCGCTCAGCCCCTGCATGTTTTTATAAACTATCTTAGGTTTTACTYGTAATTTTCTAACAATTTCTACAACTACATAATTTACTATTAATCCATCTAAAAACTAGTTCTCTTTAATGCAAGAACTCAAGCTGTTTTAAATTCATCAGGCCAAACTTAAAAGCTCAGATCCTATAAAAATTGTTAAAAATTTGTCTTGTTAGACATTTAATTCTGATTTCAGATGACTAATTTTATTTTTTAATTGATACATAGGAGTACATATTTGTGAGGATACAATGTGCTAGTTTCTTTTTTGACCTTAGAAAGGTAATTTATCTAATTCATTCATTTTGCACTTTCTGAATACAAAGTAGATATGAATACATTCATATCTAATTTTTTCTTAATTATCATCTTGCTTTTCTGCCATAGCAAACTGCAACTGCCATTCATCATGAAATCTGCAATATACCTTCTTCCAGTTTCTTTTTGTTAGCTGTTACTGATGTACTAGCTTCTCCATCTCTACTTATTCTTTTTTCAGTATGTCTTCATTTTAAATTTAAAAATTTGTTGATATTCATGTGAAAACTAGAAAAATAATTATAATCAAAATAAGCATTTCAATTTAATCAGCAATTGATTTACATAAGTATCACTATAATTCCTGTAGTCTGCATAATACGTTCAGGAAAAACATGGTATAACGTTACATCATTGTAGAAAAAATAATTTGTATTGATCTGTCTGTTGTCAGACTTAATTAGTGATATGTTTATATGTAATATTAGAAATGATACAGAAGTTTGACAAGCATACTACAATCATATTTTTATGCAAGGTAACAAAGGAAAATGTGTTCCCAAAAAAGTTATGCAGAAAAATATTTTATGTTGCTTCAGTTTTTACAAGATTAAAATTAAATAATTCTTACTTCCTTAGTCCTAACGAACTCATCTCAAGTGCCTAATAGTCAGTCACTGAAGCTAGTGGCTACAATACTGTATAGTGCAGGTATAAAAATGAGAAAGACTAGAGCCAAAAGGCTTAGTTTTTATCCCATTTCTCTTTTATTTGATAAAACCTTCAAGGTTTAGAACTTAGATGTGAGTCACTTTTCTTTTTTGTATCCTTATTTAATGTAAAACAGTGCAAAAAGTGTAAATGGTTGGAAGTTCTATATAAGACTTTTTGGAATATATAATGACCCATTCTAGCAGACATGGGTCAAACTCTAAAAATTTACAGTTCTAAAAAACAATTATCATCAGCTTTATCTCTTTAAGGAATGTCATTTAAACAGCAAAATGCTGATAATAGTTTAACTGGCTTTCAAAAACACTTTTAAGTATGTAAAGGATGTGTGGCACAAAACTTACAAATGATAAAAACATAAAGGATATTTTTTACTGTAAGTTTCTTATAGCCAGCTAATTCTCATAGAAGACTTTTGTTGATTTTTGCCGAACTCTTGTATCTGTGGCCAATCTATGGTTGCAATTTGACCAAGATTTTACAAATGGAGTTGCATCCCAATCTGCTAATTCCTTCCCCAATAAATTTATTGTCATTAAATCAGATATGTGATCTATTGTTAAACTATTTCTCACCCTTGTACAAATTATATTCATCAAACTGAAACCTCTTTCAGCTTCAGCATTATTGACTGCGATAGTGCTAACTATCTTCTTAGCTTTTTGTATAGTTGTAGGAATTGAAACATTATCTGATTTTATATTATTATTTATAAATTCCTGAAAATCATTCAAATCAATTTTGTATTTTAAAATTTCACACAAATGAGATAATTTTTTTTCACCAGCTGTCCATGGTAAAGTCATTTCTTCATAAGGCCATGTGGAAGGTTCTAGCAAATCAAAATAATTAAAAATACTTTCATCATGGTTTCTATCAGAAAAAAGGCGTAAGTTCATGTGTTGAATTATATTTTCTAGCAACATATTCCTAGGAAGAGCATTAAATTTATTATTCTTACTAAATGGAATATCTCTAAACTTCTCTGACTTAATCAAATCTTCAACCTGTGATTCATATTTTCCAGTATCAATTTTTAAATTTTCCAAAGATCTTATGGTTCGTTTGATCAATTTTTGTGCTTTCTGAATATTAGTTGATCTTGACTGTAATGCAGTTGAAAGCAGGGAAAATTCTTCAAGAATGTCAATCATCAAAGCAAGGTCTTGTAAAAAATTAGTATTAGCTAACCTCTCTGCCAAACCAGAATAAGAATTAGAAAAATGCATATATAATACAGGATATGCACGCCATACAGCAGTAGCAGCTTGTAAACTACATGCAGCCCATCTTGGTCCCATTACCCGACCAATTTTAATAATTTCAATTTCAAGGTCTTTAGCTACAGATCCTAATAGCTTGGTTTGATTTGTATTAGGTTGATGATAAAGAGAATAAATTTTATCAAGAAATATCTTAAAATGATTAACTTGTTTTATTTCAGATACTGAATCATCAAGTGACAATTGCAATCGATGGTTTAAACAGTTCCACATAATGATTTCAGGAAATTTTTCTAACAATTTTGTACCTATACCAGACTTTCTTCCCAGAATCAGGTTAGCACCATCAGAACAAAATGCAATTAAATTTGCTTTCAAATATTCATTTGTAAAGCCATAATCATTTAAAGTAGTCAATAATGTATTTAAAATGTACTCTGCTGTTGTTGATACTAATTCTTTTAAAGCAACAAATAATGTAACAGGTGCAGGAGCTGACTGAATTGCGCACTGGAGATAAATCACAAGGGTGCTTTTCTTTGAAACTGTAGATGCCTCATCAATTATGATACAGATTTTGGCTTTCTCTTCAATGATATTCTTAAATATCTTCATCTTCATTTCTTTTGCAATATGTTCTGCTATTCTTGTTGCACTGTAGCGGGTATTTAAACAATTGAYCTCTCCATTTTTCTCCTGTAATTCTATTGCCCCTTCAATATCAGATAAAGGTCTATTATGTTTTACTAAACTGTAAACAGTATTGAAAACTTTTACAGTAGCATCAATATTTTTATTATTTTGTTTAGGCACTATATTAGAAATTGAATCATTAACCGATTCCTTTAATAAATCTTGAATTTTACCATGAGCTTTAGATATATCATGCTCCCTAATTTTTTTCCGCAAAGAAGCTTGTCTGGTAGTTTTATTACTGCCATTAGGGGTTACTAAATATGAAATCCATTCCTTGGATACATGGACATGCTTTTCTGCTTTCGATCCCAAATGTCGAACTGTTGAACAATCCTTACATCCTAATTTACCTTCTTTAATTTCAAGCCACTTATACTGTTCTGTAAACATAAATGCTTGTTTTTCATTCCAACAATCTGGAAGCATAAGATTATCTATTTCTTCCTTTGATGAACATGATGGCTTTTGTTCAATGATTGGTTGTTCAATACATTCTAAATTTGGTTCCTTTGACTTAGACAGTCCACAATGATTTTTGTTCCTATCATTACTTTCTGTGTCTGTTTTAGCCTTCTTCACATTTAAAAAGTGCAAGATGTCACCCTGTCGTTTTGGCATTTTAGGAAATAGAACCTGAAAAATAATTTTGCATGTATAAGTAAAATTCATGATAACATTTGAAAGGCTAATGTAAAATGTTCTCTTAGTAATTTATTTAAATAATTTTAGAAATAAAATTTAAACTAAAATGCTTACCTTGATGTTCATTTTTACCTATAACTTCAATGTCACTTGCTATTTCTTGAAAAATCCACTATCAGATTTTAAAAAACGTCTATTGCCAACAACAGTAGTACAAAATCTGACTATGAATGTTTCATTATGATCCAATTCAGTCAGAAACACAGGTCACATGATTTGCAAATGAGTGTAATTCCAATATGAAGAGTGGGTGGTATTTTCATTTACAAGAATAAATAAGATGAAAATGAAACAATGAAGACATATATTAGACTTCCATTCATTTTTCAATGACAACATTAAATCTTTGCTGAATTAACAGTTTTCAATATCATAAGGCAATTTCCTCAATTTATTGTGCTACACACATTTTAGCAGTTAAGAAGAGTCATATCACATTCTGAAATTTAATCTGGATTAACATTTTATCTTTTGAGTTTAGACCACCAACAAATAACAAATCAAGCCCTGATTTCTATTTTCCCAATTACCATGAGGTAAATACTCCTTTTTTGTGGTACCAGCACACTACCTAGTGTGGCATTTCTATCCAACAGACACAACAGATGCAAATAACTTCAAGTATACAGATGCTAGGATATGATGAGTTTGAGTATTAGGTTAAATGTAATGATAATGTATACCATATATTTATATACTTTAATTTTGAATAACGGCTATGTTTATAATCAACTCACGAAATTCCAGAAAAATCTAACAATAGATTCTTATAATACAGTTCAAGGACCTCCAGCACACTATTACACTTACTAGAAGAACTGAAACAGAAATATAATGTGCTTACATCACTATGGTGCATGTTAGACTCTTCCTCATCACCACAAACCAGATCAATGTATTCAAGAACAGGTCTCGACAGTCCTTCCTAAAAAAGAGAGTGGTAAATTTATGTCATTAACAATCAATTAAACTCACATTTACAATCAGTGGGGAGTTTTTGTTTGTTTTAATTAAAATTTGCAAAAATTACTCTGAATAAGAAATCTTGCAAATGGCATAGTATAAACAGAAACAAAAGAGGCACAGGAAAAAGAGAGTAAATAAATATGTAATAATGACAAAAGCCAGCCACAAAGAGCTTAAATGTACACAGAGGAATAAAGCCATGTGGCTTCCTTTCGGAACGGGCAACAGTACAGAGAGGGTATTAAAAAAGACACGGATTTAATAGTACAGCATTTTAAAACTGGAACAGTTATCAATAATGTTTGAGATACCATAAGCTCAATGATTCTTCCCTCCCCCCCTTTTTTTTGTTTGTAGATGAATAAAATACTTTTATTTTATTTATTTATTTTTATGTGATGCTGAGGATCAAACCTAATGCCTGACCCATGCTAGGCAAGTGCTCTACCACTGAGCTACAACCCTAGCCAAAATTCATGAATTTCTTCACCCATACTACCCCTAAACTGTTAAACATCAAACCAATTTTTTTCTATCCTTTCTTTACATACACAATACTTTTCTTCATAGATGAGGCCATAAATATCTCAAGTTAAAATATTAGACTTTATTCAAGGACAAAAGATCAACAAATAATGTTAAGATAGGAATATTATGAGAACTCTGTTTCAAGATTGATCATATAGGAGAGTACTGAGCAAATACAAGTAAGATAATCCAAATAATCAATCCAAGAAAAGGCTAATATGGTACTAAAGTAAGGTGATGGCAAGGAGAACAATGAGGAAATATACGTTTTTTTTTTCTAAATGCATACTATAGTTCAATAAAATTTATATCAACGATAAGAGCTCTTTTTGTATTCCCCAATCAATTTTGTCATTCCTTTATTTCAGTATATTATGTTTAATTTGGGGCTGAATACTTAGCAGACCACAAAAAGGATGCTGTGCCACAATGTAGAATAAAATCTAGGGGGGTGAAAAAAATCAAGATTTATATGAAACAACTAAGAAATAAAAATCAGAATATCAAGAATTAACATATTAACATTCTTTTCTGTATCTGTATAACCCTTAAGCAAAGAACTAAATCCAGCAGCATATAATCCGTAATGGATAGTACTATAAAAAATATTTTTAAAAAAGCAAAAGCATATCCTAGTGGACTATAGGATGGTATTACAGAATAAAGTAATAGATTCTGTATCTAAATGCATTTTAAAATAGAATTAAAGTCAATTGTCTTTTTCTTGGCACCATTTAAATGCAACAGGAGGGCTGGGGATTCATTCAGCATGCTTTGAGGTCCTGGGTTAGATCCCCACACAAAAAATAATAGTGACAATAATAACAATGCACAAATGCAACCGGAATTTTTTTAAGTACTTTCTGATATGCAATTTCCTTTACAGCATATCATTTATTTCCCATCTGAGTCTATCAAGTCTTTGATCCTCTATTTGGAACAGGATAAAATATGAGGTTCTCATCTATTCAAGACTTTGTATGCAAAGATGCAAATGATTCTCTACATTTAAAGCATATCAACCCTCCATATCCATGGGTTCCGTATCTATGGATTCAACCAACCATGGATTGATAATATTTTTCATAAAATAAAGCTTTTTTAATCAAAAAGTGTCCACACCGAACACGTAAAGATTTTTTTCTTATCATTATTCCCCATACAATGTAACAACTACTTACATAGAATTTACATTGTGTTTGTTATTATTTGAAATCTAGAGATGATTTATACCTATAGGAGATTGCGCAGAGGTTATAGGGGAATACTAGGACATTTTACATAAAGGGTTTGAGCATTCACAGATATTGGTATTAGAGAGAAGCCTAAGAACAATCCCCCACATAAGCTCAGTCATATATAAGCTCAGTCAGAACTTAAAATATAATTATTCTTCAGGGTATTACACAAACTTACACCTATTTATTTTTCAACCTTAATTGTAGATTGCTTTTGTGTTTCTCAAGTAAGGCAGACAGATCATAAAGATGATGTGTGTCATTCCTACTGAGAATTGCACAAAACATTATCAAGATCAGAACATCCCAATCACTCGTGGGATAGTCAGGAAAAATCAAAATTATTTTTCCTAAAGACCCATGATAGCCTCTTTCCAACTTTTTTCAGTACAAAACAAAACTATGACTCTTCGATTTCCAGTTACATCACTTAACTAATCACAAAAGTGAAGAGTAAGCATACAACTTCTCATGGTACCCTCAAATTTATAAAGGTTCTAAGTATCAAGACTAGAACACCATATTCACTATTCATGTATTTCAAGAAAGAATGCCAGGGCTAGGATTGTGGCTCAGTGGTACAGCACTTGCCTAACATGTATGAGGCACTGGGTTCGATCCTCAGCACCACATAAAAAATAAAGATATGGTGGTCATCTATAACTAAAAAAATTATTTTAAAAAAGAATGCCAAAGATGGGCTGGGGTTGTAGCTCTGTGGTAGAGTGCTTGCCTAGCACAGGCATTGGGTTTGATCCTCAGCATCATATAAAAATAAATAAATAAAAGATTTGTGTTCATCTACAACTGAAAAATTATATTATAAAAAATGCCAAAGATATGATTTTGTGAACACTTTCTACATAAATCTTACAGAACAAACAACAATGTTAACTACATAATTTTCAGGGAGCAAATTTTGTTTGACTTAAAAAAATAAGTGACTTCCAAAGTCAACCTAAACTACAGCCACTAAAAACACACAAACATCAGACAGGCACTCTATTATAAAGAAAAACTATACAGACTTAATACAAACTAACTGATCACATAACTCAGTAAAAGAACAGTTTTGAGGCAGAACTGTTTTTAGGTAGCTGAGATACTATGATAAGCAAAGCCTTTGTAAAATTTTAACAGCACTGAATGAAAATCATCCCACAATATTTAGGGCATTTCCTTCCATTTTCCAAATCAATGCTTAATTAAGTGTGTTCAGAGATTCAAATGTCCTGAACTTATTCAAAAATGGAGATTCCTAAGCCCGACTTTGAATTTCTTTCTGACTCAGTAAATCTGGAGTTGGGCTCAAGAATTTGAAAGTTTCTACTTCCTAACACTTGAAAACTACTGCCTGTGGCAAAGGACAAAAACAGAAAAGATAGCATGCTCCTTGTGATGCAGGATTCATTATGTGCAATTGTTGCACTATGCTGTAATATGATGATCTCAGAGGTTAGTGAAGTCCTCAAGCTGAGTTCCTACACACCTTGTTTTCCACCTCTYTCCCTCCCTCCTAGTCCTGTGTGTCACCTTTGAGAAGGCATTCATGCCCCCATTTTAAATCACACAGTCTGTAAGTTTACAGAGATCAGAATTTTGTCTAGAGTAATCATAAAATGGATCCAAATGAGGGCACCGGAGGCCTCAATAAGAGCCCAATACGTTCAATAGGCCATGCTCTTTGTGATGGCTATTGTGGTGGCTCAGATACCTTTCCTGGTAAACTCCTTAATCCTACACCATGTCCCACAGTGTCCACCACCCAGGAGACATCCTTACTATTCGTTGAATGATGAATGACCAGGTCAGTAGAACTGCACAATGCCTTACACAGTCTTTCACTCTGGGAAAAGCCCGATTATCAGTAGCTACTTACACTAACAAACTGAATGTCATCTTCGTTTTCATCCGTTGTTGATTCAGATGCCTCAGGCCCAGCTGGAGGGGCAGATTCTATTATCTACAAAAATAAGCCAAAACATGCTTATCTATTCAGCCACACACTTGTAGGGAGAGATTTTTCCAAAAAGGACGATTGAGACAAAAGCTTGGACGGAAACTGAGCACAAACGCACGCAAACGCCACGAAGAACTGAGTCGAGGGAGCTCGGTTTTGCTAAGGCGTCGTGCAGCTGTAGTGAATGGCCCTCGAAAAGGAGTGACCAGCGCTCAGAAGGTCCCCACCTACTCCAGGAGCAGGGATGCAAGCTCGCTACCCAAGGGCAATCCTGACTTCAGCCGTCGCTGGGCTCCCGGGGCAGAGCGGCGGCAGCAGGAATTCGGGGCCAGTTCAGGGGCCGGGGGCGGCCGGGCCGCCATTGTTGCCGCAGGTTCCCGGGGCACGCAAGCAGCAGGCCCGAAGGCCCCGCTCCGCCCTAGATGCTGAGGCGCAGCGCCCCGAGGCTGCGGCCGAGCACAGGCCTCAACCCACCAATCTCGAAACCCTCCGCGGTTCGGCTCCCAGAACGCGAAGGCCCAAGGCTCTGCTACTCACCTCCGACCCTGGGTCTCCCATTTCTCCAACGGCTTGACAGCACCACCACTACTGCTGTCCCTGCCGCCGCCGCGACTTCCCTTCCCACCTTGCACCGCCTCAAGGCACCACCACTTGCCACAGCGTTATCTCTAACGGGAACTCTGGTCAAGTGCAACCAGGTGCAAAACCGCCAGAGAAGGAGGAGCGGCCCTCCCTGGCCCGCTATCTCCGGAGCCTCTGGCTCTCCTTCCCCGCACCTCGCAGGATGCTGGGAATTGTAGTTAAGCCAGACACAGAGCCTCCCTGCGCGTGGGCGCTGAGTGGGAAMGGACCTTGGGCTTCTGCGCTTGCGCCCCGCTCTTTGCTGTTCCTCTCAGAGGGAATGGCTGAGGGGTTGGTGGGGGTGTTTTGTCTTGTTTTTACGGACATATTTGGTCTATATAAAGATAAATGTGATTAAAGTACTTCTTCGTTGTTTGTTCAGATATTGCCTTAGCAAAGTTATGGCCCACCTTTTTCAATATTACCACAAAATTTTAGTAAATAGATGAAATTTATGAAAACAAATTTTAACTGAGAACATTCTTTTAAAACTTGTTTCCCCCCTATCCTTAATAGCCTAGGGCCACTTCTAGTTGATAATTCTGTAGCTCCAGAAATCACCTTTGAGATTTTGATGATGACTTACAATGAGCAAGCTCATACAACTGAGGAACTATGGGACATCTCACCATTCAAAGGATAAGACAGCATGATTATAAGATTTTAAGAAAGTGTGGAAATAGGTGAAATAGAAATGAGGCAAATTTATTTATTTATTTATTTATTTATTTATTTATTTATTTATTTATTTATTTATTTATTTATTTTAGTTATACATTGGCACGATATCTTTATTTTTGTTTACTTATTTTTATGTGGTGCTAAGGATCGAACCCAGTGGGCCTCACATTTGTGGGACAAGCGCTCTGCCACTGAGCCACAACCCCAGCCTGAATGAGGCAGTGTTTTAATAGATTCAATTTGATTAGGACTGTGTGCAAAAGGTTTGATGTTGTGTATGGACTGCAAAGTGGCCCAAGATCTTGTTAACTTGAAAACTACAAACCTAAAACAGGGAATGTTGAACTCAGAAATTCCCTACGTGTATCCCGTGCACTAGCTTTGAAATATGAAGTTGGATCTCTATGTCAGAGTGATGTAGCTTCTCCAGCCAAGAGACAGGCTCACTTTTGTCTTTCTGATAAATTTTCAAACAACAAAGTTTTTGGTAGTCTATGATTTTAGAGAACATATTTTCTCAGTAAGAGTGAAGTAGTTCCTAGTCATCTTGATTCTTTATAAGTGCAGTATTTCTTTTGGGGGAAAAAAAGTCATCTTTTGTTAATTTTGCAGCTGACTTAATCTGTTAATTTTGCCTGATAAATGATGCAGTGGATAATTACTTTCTCAGTTTGAGACCTATTTTTTTCAGGTCTAAATGAGAACATAGCATGTGATTACTTGTGTTTGTAGTTAGTATTATATTAATCTGTTTCATTTCTTGCATCTCCACATAAAACATTAAGCCTGCTGACTAAATTTAAGGAAAGCACTTGCATAAAAATCTGAGAACAAAAGGAGACCTGTCACAATGAGCACCCCAATGCCTAATGGAAATTAACCATTTCTAAATTACTTAAATGCCTAGGAGWAACTTGTATATAAAAGATTTCCCTCGTTGGTAATCCCAGCTGTTGGGGAAGCTGAAGCAGAAGGACACCATTTGAGACCAGCCTGGGCAACTTAGTTTGACCCTGTCTCAAAACAAAATTTTAACTGAGAGGAGGAGGGGCTTGGGATGTAGCTCTGTGGTGGAGCTCTTGCCTAGCAAGCATGAGGCTCTGGGTTCAGTCCCCAGTACAAAAGATTTTTCTCATGTGCATTATGTGACTAGATTCTGGATGTGCTCCTGCTCTTCAATTCAGTAGCTTTTTTTTTTTTTTCTTTGTCTTTTTGTGGTGCTGGGAATTGAATCCAGGGCCTTGGTGCATGTGAGGCAAACACTCTACCAACTGAGCTATATCCCCATCCCAATTCAGTAGCTATTTCAAAGATGGTCCTTTTATTCCAAACATTCTAATAGATGTGTAGTGATTTCTCATTGTGATTTAACTTGCAATTAACCTAATGACTAGAAAGTCATGTTAAACATCCTTTCAGGGCTGGGGATGAGGCTMAAGCGGTAGCGCGYTTACCTGGCATGCATGCAGCACTGGGTTCAATCCTCAGCACCACATACAAATAAAGATGTTGTGTCTGCTGAAAACTAAAAAGTAAATATTAAATTCTCTCTCTCTCTCTTAAAAAAATCCTTTCATGTTTTATTGGCTATTCTTATATCTTCATTGGTAGTGTCTAAGCACATTTATCCATTATTTAAATGAATATTCTGTTCTTTATTGAAATTTGAGATTTGCTTATTTATTCTCCCAATAAGTCCTTTAACAGATATATTAGTAGTAAATCTTGAAAATAGGTAGTTTTCCAACTTTGTCTTATTTTTCATGTTGTCGTAATTCTTTATTTTGGGGGAATTTTTTTTTAGTGTACTAATGTTTTTCATATTTCATCAGATTAATCTCTAAGTATTTCTTATATTTTGAAATTTTTGTTTTTGCTGTGCTGGGGACCATGCTGTGTGCATGCTGGCAAGTACTCCACTATTGAGCTATATTCCCAGCCTATTTCAGGTATATGTGTGTGTGTGTGTGTGTGTGTGTGTGTGTGTGTGTGTGTATCTGAATATATGTATATATTTCTTTCTAGGTATGAGTACTGAACCCAGAGCACTGTACCACTGAGCTACATCCTAGCCATTTTATTTTATTGAGAGRGGTTCTCACTAAGTTGCCCAGGCAACTCCTGCCTTTTTCTGATTGTTTGTTGCTAGCACATAGAAAAACATCTTATTTTTGTATGTCGATTCATATTCCCCACAAATGATGTATTACATTTCGCATGGGCTATTTTATGTAAACATGCAGGAGTTGGGGTCATCACCTGCTTTCTTGTGGCCAGGMAGGGGATTTCAGCCTTAGCAACTAGTTTACTTTTAGAAATTTTTCAGTAAATTTAGGAAAAGCATAGGAGTAGGGTTTTTTGTGYGTTTGATTTTTGTTTATTAGAGAGGAGAACTCTTCCATGAGCAGTTCTTAAAAATAAGTCATTATTGCTGTTATTCAACTTTCTGTTACTATGACAAAATATCAGAGATAATCAACTTGAAAGGAGGAAAGGTTTATTTGGGGCATGGTTTCAGAGGTTCTGTTGTTTGGGGCTCGAAGCAGCACAGTACATCATGGTAGGAGTGTATGGTGAAGGAGATCTATTTACTTCATGGTGGCTGGGAATCCAAGAGAGAGACAAAGGAGCCAGATTCCCATTATGTCCTGGAAGGAAATGCCCACATTGACCTAACTTCCTCCACCTAGATGCAGTGTTACAGGATGGGGAACAAGCCTACACATGGGCTTTTGGGGAACATTTCAGATCCAAACTACAATTGCTTTCCCATCTCCCTCATACTTTCCAGAGTCAAAAGCTTACTCTTCAGTTATCAGAGATTTTTGCTCTCCTGCAAAAATCTGTGTCCTGATTCATTAACTATAACTTCACACATTTTTCCTCCAATCATTCCCTATTCTCACCCAGAACTGTTTACCTAAAGGATTGGGTTTAAGGTGTAGAAAGCATTTCATAGAAAAACATTTACACACAACTTAACCAGAATTAAGTTTGCAATCTCCAAGGCTTCCTTCAGTCAGGACATACCAAACTAATAATAATAATTTATAATAATAATAATAATAATAGAAAACCAAAGGCATTTTGCCAGTTCAAGAAAAGAATTCACAATTTTCAAATTTTTCAAAATAAATCTGTATAACCTCCCACCCCTTTATCCTAATCATACCAAGTTGCAGCCTAGTAAAGATAATCCTATTATGAGGGAAGCTACATAGCATAATCTTATGAAGGCAACAATAACTTACAAAGGAGTGTATACAAGGAAAGAATAAGGGAGTAGAGTGAAGCTGTCGACTGATTGTTGAGCAGTTTCTTCCATAAAAGGTACAATTCATCAGACTGCAAGTAGTCTGGAAAGCCACATGCAAAAGGACACAGCAATGATCTATCTCCTAGAAGTGGCCAAATGCCTGAGGTGATTGAATCAGTAAAAAGCGGGACAGAAGGGATAGGTGGTGAAGGACTCCAAGCCCTGAGCCCTTCCCACTTTCAGTTTTCAGCAGTTATCTTCTGAAATCTGTGCTGTGTACATTCTGGTGTGGTAGTTTCCTCATGTGTGTGCAGATTGGACTCAACGCTCCAGGAGTTCTGCAAGTGTCTGGAGTTCTTTGTGTGATTCTCCTCTAGGCTGCTCTTTGTGGACCACAACTACCTTAGTTTCTATAGACTTTCATCTCCCCAATTCCTGAGTTTTTTTTTTTTCCTGCTTTATGGCTCAGAAATTTTCTACAAACATTAAGTAGGGACACTTGTAGGATTTTCTGTCTTCCAAGAATCACTGTCATTGAACGTTTGACATACAGTATCTAGAGGGCTGTTGTTTCACAAAAAGGTCTAGTCCATTATCACACAGTGCATTTAATTTTCATAACTTTATTATTCTTTAATTTGAAACAATCTCTAGCCTTTTCTATCTATCATGACATTGGCTTTTTTGTATTTTTGATATTATATATTGAACTAAGGTGTGCGCTTTAACACCAAACTATATCCGTAGTCTTTTTTTTTTTTTGAGACAGAGCTTGCTAAATTACTGAGGGTCTCACCAAATTGCTGAGGCTGGCCTTAAACTTGTGAACCTCCTGGCTCAGCCTTCCCAGTTATTTTATAGAAATAACCTCTGTTGAGGTTGTTAATGTTTCCTGGTAATCACATTCAGATTATGTCTCCCTGGTCAGAATACAACTTCTTGCACCAGCTCAGACAATGAGTACACCTAACACCCGGATATTGGTTTCTAAATACCATTTCCCACCAAATGAGAAATGGTTCCTTRTAAAAATGGCTGATTTCAGGGCATGGTAAAGAATGTACAAGATTCAGTTAGAGGGGGACTGGGGTTGTGGCTCAGAGGTAGAGCRCTCGCCTAGCACGCATGAGGCCCTGGGTTCAATCCTCAGCACCGCATAAAAATAAGTAAATAAATTAAAGGTATTGTGTGCAAGTACAACTAAAAAATAAATATTAAAAAGAAAAATTCACTTAGAATATTTTGCTATGCCAAAAAGTAAGGATTTGCTCAAAAAATGATGGTCACATGACCCAGTAAAAAGATACTCAAACTGGCTGAATCTGGGACAACTGATAATCAGAATAAGTTGGAATAGAAATGGATTACAAACCACTGAATAAATAGGAATCCATATC